TTTATTTAGTAGTTTTATTTTAAGAGGGGGCCTAGCATGAAAATATGTCATTTGTGAAACTTCAGCTTTTGTTGTTATCATACTAGATGTATATGAAAATTATAATTCAATTTTCAATTTTTGTAGTTACCTCTATGTACCCTAGCTAGAGATACTATATCTTGTTTATAATTTGGTGTATTTTTTAATTTAGAAAGTTATGTTTCCCGTAGTTATATTAGTTGTAGCATGAATATATTGTCATTGTAGATAGAGTTGAATCTATAATTAATTGTTATTTAAGCTGATTGCTAATTATAATTTTTAATCCATGGATCCAGATCCAATGTTATATGTTCACATTTTCTTGTATCCTGAGATCTTAATACGATTTCAACTTCCATTTATTGATACGTGATTCGTGACTTACTACCCTTGTAACAAAATTTACTTATTTACTATGTTAATCATTTAACAAATGATTGTGGTGGGTTTTTATCTCTGTCTGCCAGTAAAAGACTTCTGACCTTGAATAAACCCTTTTTTCTCATTAGTCCAGTGTACCCTAGTTTAGACTGCTTTCTCAAGATCCACAGTTGTTATCCTTATAAATAAACTGCTGTTTATTTCTTTCTTTCTTTCATACCTTTTTCTTTCATTCCTTCATTCATTCTTTCTTTTGTTGTTGTTTTTGTAAGTCTATGAAGAAAGACTAGATGGAATCTTGATCTAATAAACTTCTAGAATAACCATGTTTTCTTTATTATGTATTGTATAATGTCAATTTGACAAACTGCATGTTATAAAGTCACAAGTTTTCTTGTATGTATATATATTGTTTGAATGTATGTTAATGTTTTGGGTTAGTAAGAATACATGTTATCTATAAGTAGCTGTATTCAAGTTGAAATATTTCAAGCATGCATGAATAGATATTACACTAGTGATTATTGTCAAGGGAAAAGAGAAACACTGATCATGATCTAGTATGATCTCAAAATTGATATTATAGTTGGAATAGATATATACATTCATAGGAAATTTTATATTATATTGTTAGAGCAGTATCCATCTGTTTTTTGCTAATTTCGAGGTAGATTTTCACTGATTTATAGTGTTTCAACATATAAGTTTTGAAACATTGTCATCAATAGAGCATTAATCTTGAGTAGGAGTATTCAACAATATTTTATTTCTTTCCCTAAATGGGCGATAACAAAATTTGTTATAATTCAAAACATTGTAAATTATAAAAATATGCAATTTCCTTCTATGTATATACTTGAATTTGGTTTGAAGAGGGTGATTAAAAGCAGAGCCTACCATTCGGTAATAAAGCAGTATGAACTTAAAATTGTTTTGGTGTTTGTGACTTACAATGCCTTGATATTTTTAGTAGAAGGAGAAATTACAACCAAAACAAATAATATTAAAATGTTGACATAAACCTTTTTAACTAGTTTTTGCGTTTTGAAATTAATAGCAAGATACTTAAAGTTAAAACCTCAGATAAGTTAAGGAACACATTGCTCAAGATTCTGGTATATGATTCAAAAAACAATTCCGACCTATGAAAAAAATGAGACTGCCCCTTTAACAATTAAACAAGTTTTGATATCGAGGCTTAATATTCTTACCTCAATAATGTTATCGATACATTGTACTTTTTCACTCCATATCTTACGACCTTTTGAGTTTATTGAAGTGGCATATATACCAATATAATGGGGGTTGGTGAAACAACTTCTAAATTCATCTTTATTTATACCTTATGTGGGCCTGTAACATGATGGCTGACAACCTTCAAGCTGTTGAAGACAGAAGTAATAAGGGTAGACTATTTCTTAGATGTTAGATTAGTTCAATACTGTACTCAGACAATATCTACACTTCTAACAGATTTCAAAACAGACCTTTCACCATTATTTACTTTTAATAGTGCTTTCAAACTTCTTCATTGACTTTTTCCACAATACTTTAATTTCTCCCCGGTTTTAAAAACTAATTATTGGATAAATACCTCTTGGTGTTTAATTATCACATGATCAAAGAGCTAAGCTGATTATTTTTACTGGAAAGGTTATTAAAGGTATACCTCCATGAAATGTTTTGTCTGTTAAAACTATATCTAATATGAGATTGTAAAATATTTCGTGAGTGATCATATAGAACTTAATATTTGCTACCCTTTAGTACTTTTCAAAATGATAATATATATATGTATGTTATTGGAAGAGATGACTTGATGTACTGGCTTTGATTATCCTGCCAGGTCAGAACTTTAGGTTAAAATGAAAAAAAATATAGTGCATGTTTACTTAATAATTTTCTAAGGTTAAAAAAGGATTAAGACATCTGAAATCATTACTTGTTAAAATTTAATATGAGTTGACAATTACCTGGACAAACTTCATTAGAAAATAAGTGGTTCAGAAATAATGATTAGTCCTAATTGATGAGACATGAAGTTGACATGAAAATAGATCGGATGTAGGTCTGTCTTAAATCTCTATTGATTTTATAGCATTTTAATTTCCATTATAAAAGGTCATTGCTCTGGACTTAGATTTGAATTGTTTTTTGTGCACAATATTTGACGACTATTTAGACTCAAAACCTTTAAAACTAGTTGTGAAGCACCATTTGAGAAACGACAAATTTTAGAAAACAATTATCACAAAATAAGCTTTGT